GTTTCTGTCAGAGCTCTCTCAGCCCCACCGACCACAAAGGGTGTCTGTTGTGGGGAGGGGAAGGAAAAGGAGATGGTAAACTGCTCTGAGGCTGAAATCACACACACTAAATAATCCACTTTCAATGCACTTTTCAACTGCATTTTGCCAGTTCACACAGTAAAATCCAGTTGGAAAGCGCACTGAAAGTGGATTAAAAGCGGATTATTCAGTGTGTGTGTGACCGCGGGGTATAAATCCAATCTCTTCTCTTCTTTCACACACCTTCTCATTCTTCTCTGCCAATAGGCCCCTCTCCCAGTTGATCTCAAAGCCCAGCAGTGGGGCTAGCTGAAAAATTGCTATGGGGGGCATCTGTAGGGGGAAACAGGCTGTAGGAAGAGGGTAAATAAACCACCTGCTTGTTCCTTCCCTTTGTAAATGCCCCCAGAGACCCTGCAGCAGCTATGGAAAGGGTAATTCCAAATCTCCAACACCTAATACCAGTTTAGATTTTCCCATAGGCTGAGAACGCATGCCAAAAGCACAAAGCCTTTTCCCTAAACCCCAAAAAGCCAAACTTACAATGAATACATACACAACTTGGGAGCATTTTGGTCAAAGCATGCCTTGCCTTCCATCAATAATACTGCTAGATATTATAGCGTTTAAAAAAACTGATGTTGAGATACACCTGCTGAAATCGCCACCCCCCTTCCCGTTTCCAAAACGGTACTCCAGAGTGGAGGTGGGGGAAGGCCCCAATGTGTATATTATGAAACTCTCCACCTCTATGGTTTACAACTTCCCCATGGGAAAATCCCTGATACACCCATGTGACATATATAACAGATTTGAAAGGAACTTGATGGATAAGGAGGTCAGTGTCCTGGTCATGACCGAAGTGAATTTGACAAGCAAACCGGCCAAAACCCTTTCCCTCAGCACCCTAAGCTATAAAATGGGCGCAAGGGTGTTGCCAACAGATTGCTGAGAGCACAAACATTTTGTGCTGCTAATTTCCAAGAGGCGACGGAAACAAAACCAACTACCCACAACATGGTTCCAGGCCTATGTCAAATTCCACCTGGCAGACTTTTTCCGCACATTTCTCGAAGGCAAATCTGGATGTTCCACCCAGCAGACAGCTGCAACCAAATGCGGTCAGTGACCAGTGTTCCCTCTAAGCTGAGTTAGTGTGAGCTAGCTAGCTCACAGTTTTTTAGCCTCTGGCTCACACATTTTTGTCTCCGCTCAGGAAGGGAGGGCTCCAGAGGAAACTGATTTATGCAGCAGCCAAATCGCTCGCTCACAACTTTAATGCCAGTAGCTCACCAAGTAGAATTTTGGCTCACAAGGCTCCACAGCTTAGAGGGAGCATTGCTTACAGGTAGATCAAGTTGGGTAGCTGTGATAGTCAGTCTGTAGCAGTAGAAAAGAGCAAGAGTCCAGGAGCAAAATTTGTGACAGGGTGTGAGCTTTTGAGCCACTGCTCACTTCTTCATATACAGAGTCTTATACATTGGGAAGTGATTTCAGACCCCACATGACATTAGCAGGCAAATGACAATGGCAGGTGTTTTTGGATTAGGTTTGATATGCAGAGAGGTAGTAGGCATGGAGAAATCAACACTGGTAATGAGATAGGAAACCTAGGTTTCTATTCAGTCCTGGTGGGTGCATTGTCTTGAGCTTCATTATGACTCTCAATTCAGCAGTCTCTTTTTAATCCCCCTTTGAAATTCCTTTGTAAAATAACTGCTAGTTTTAGGTCAGCAACTCCTGGGGGGGGGAGGTATTTGTGAATTTCCTGTATTGTGCAGGGGGTTGGACTAGATGACCCTGGAGGTCCCTTCCGACTCTATGATTCTACTCTTTTCTACCTTTCAGGGTTGGGTGTGAGGATAAAACAGAGAACAAGGTAAATTGTTTTGGATCCCCATTGGGGATAAAAGGTGGGTTACATTTCAACACCCTGAAACCCTCTAACTGGATTTGGGACCCTTTGCACGAGAAACGCATCAAATCCTACACTTATTGCAATACTTTCCCAGGTGATCCTTCCGATCACGGCATCCTGCTTTCGCACCAGCCTAGCCTAGACAGGAAATCCACCATCTAACTGGTCACATTACAGTTGAGGGTCTCCTTCCAGGCAATCTGGAAGGAACACAGGTAGGGTGCACTGAAGGTATGTGAGGTGGCATAGCCCCAAATGTAACATCTGGCAAGAGGCAGGGATAACACACCCTGATCTGGATAGCTGAGGCTAGCGCGACCTCGTTAGAGCCTGGTAACGAAGCAGGGTCAGCCCTGGCTAGTATTTGGATGGGAGACCACCCAGGAATACCAGAGTCACTATGCAGATGTAGGCAATCTCAAACCACCTCTGAAGGTCTCCTGCCCTTGAAAACCCTGTGGGGTTGCTATAAGTCAGCTGTGACCGCAGACACAACGTTCCCATCGTGCGCCCAGGATAGGGATGCAAAATATTGTGTGCGCGGGAAAGTGCTGTCAATTCGCAGCTGACCCCCCCCCCGGGGTTGTCAAGGCAACAGAGGTGGTGTTGACCCTTCCCTGCCTCTGCGTAGCAACCCTGGGCTTCCTCCGTGGTCTCCCACCCAAGAACCAATCAGGGCTGACCTGGCTTAACTTCTGAGATCGGACAAGACCAGGCTTGTCCAGGGACATCCAGGCCAGAACAAGCAAAACATTCACGGGGACAATGAGACCCACAGACTAGCAGCTCATTCCTGCGCTAGGAAAAAGGGACTGGGATCAAGCTTATCAGGCCTATAGCTGGCCACTGTCTAGTTGGACCCTTGCCTCTAGTTGGACCCTTGCCCCCGGCCCCTTCTCTTACAGTTGGGGGTGTTTCTCTGCCACCGATGGCTGTACGGCCCTCGCTTGTACGACTTGGCTTTTTAAAATAAAAGGACAAGACAGGTTCATCAAGCAGGGACAGAGCCTCCTTGTCCAGAGGCAGTCTATCTCCGGCCTAACTGAAGCTGGGGACAGAGGGGAGACGACACTGTCACACCCTTACAGCGCACTCCAAAAGGCGGGCCCCGCTGCTGCAAACTGGACAAAGGATGACACAGACATCGGCCTGACCCAGCCAGCCATTTCTGACCCAATCAAAGCTATTAAGCAGTTTGCCTAACTGAGCAACACTGATTGTGGCTCTGAAGCGTTACCAGCGGGCCTTTTTGCCCACCCGTCCCCAGTTTCCATCGCTTCCTTCTCCCTGCATCTAAAAGCCCTTGCCCTCTGAGAATCCACTTCCCTGCCTTGGAGAAAGGGAGTTGGAGATACGGTTGCCAACCTCCTGGTGGGCCTTGGAGTTCTCCCAGGACTACAACTGACCTCCAGGTGACACAGAACAGTTCCCCCATGGGGGAAATGGGTGGGTGGGGTGATGGTGCCATCTGGCAGGAATTGCTTAGCTAGACCCCAGGCAGGGCCTGGAGACCACCTGGAATTACAACTGATCTCCATACGAAAGGGACGAGACCCCCTGGAGCACACAGCTGCTTTGGGGGGTGGACTCTGCAGCATTATAGCCCTCCGAGGTCTTTCCCCTGCCCAGGGTGCATCTTCCTCAGACTCTACCCCCCAAAACTCCAGGAATTTTCCAGTCTGGAACTGGCAACACTAGTTTGAGATGGAGGGGGGAAATCTTATACTAGGGTTGTTAGGTGTCTCCCCCCCCCCCCGCCCCCGGCCAGGGGATGGGTGTGTGTGTAGAGCAATGTTCCCTCTAAGCTGTGGAGTCTTGTGAGCAAAAATTCTACTTGGTGGGTTACTCGCATTAAAGTTGTGAGCAAGCGATTTGTCTACTGCATAATTTAGTTGGCTCTGGAGCCGTCCTTCCTGAGCTGAGACAAAAATGTGTGAGCTGTAGGCTAGAAAACTGTGAGCTAGCTCACACTAACTCAGCTGAGAGGGAACACTGGTGTAGAGTTACCAGATCCAAGTTGGGAAACACCTGGAGATTTGGGGATGGAGCCTGGGGAGGACGGGGACCTCAGTGGGGCACAATGCCACAGAGTCCACCTTCCAAAGGACCCATATTCTCCAGGGGAACTGATCTCTGTTGCCTGGAGATGAGCTGGAATTCC